CCCTCCCCATGGCTGGCCTCGCCTCCAATCACACCCTAACCCAGCCGTGGGAAAACTACAGCCCGAGGGCCGGATCCAGCCCGTTTGAAATGAATAAAACTAAAAAAAAAAAGACCGTACCCTTTTATGTAATGATGTTTACTTTGAATTTATATTAGTTCAAACAAACACTCCATCCATGCTTTTGTTCCAGCCCTCCGGTCCAGTTTAAGAACCCATTGTGGCCCTCGAGTCAAAAAGTTTGCCCACCCCTGCCCTAACCCCAATGGGGGCAGGGTCTGCTGGCCAATTGCCCACGGCCCCTCCCCCCAACCTCCCGCCATCTCCTCCTCCCAACAGCCCGGCCCCAATCTGCCCTGATTGGGGCCGGGCCAGCTGGACTTCACCCATGTATGAATTTGTGCACTGGGCCTCTAGTCTTAATATAAAAATGATGAACAGCTATTAAGCAAGTTGCTTATAATTTATGTACATTAAAACCCTGTTTTTCTAATACAGTCAGCCCTCTTTCTTTTTTTTAATGTTTTTTTTTGCCCCAGTTGATTTTAGAGAGAGGGGAAGAGAGGGGAAAAGGGAGGGGGGAAAGAGAGAGAGAGAGAGAGAGAGAGAGAGAAAAGGAGAAACATCGACATCAATATTGATCAGCTGCCTCCTGCACACCCCGTACCAGGGATGGACTCTGAAACCCAGGCATGTGTCCTTGATAGGGGATCGAACTGAGACCTCCTGGTGCATGGGTAGACACTCAACCCCTGAATGACCCTAGCCAGGCTCAGCTCTCCTTTTAAAAGGAGTCTTAACCTCTCCTAAATGAGAAAAACTGTATCCATCACTCTGGCGTCCTCATTTCTACAAATACAAAATGGCCCAAATGTAACCAGCCCAATGTCATGACACATTTCAAATTATCTCATTACAGAAAATTAAAGCATAAAAAAACTAAGTAAGGTTGTTGCTTATGATCACTGAGGAAAGTCAAGGCATGGATTCAGATAACCCAAAATAAATTGTGCCCTAAATACTGGCTTAATTTGTCTACAAAGAAAAGCAAAACAATAAAGTATATAGCACTGGTAAACCAGATGTTCTTAAATTAGTGTGGGATCCTGGGGCCTCCTGGAGGTATTTTAGGGTTCTATCTATGTTTGCTTGCATTCCATTTTCTAAGTATTCTTTATATTTAAAAAGCTATGACAATGTCTCTGTCATATTAATATGTAATGAAAACAGCATACACACTCAACTGTGTTAAAAACTCAATGAAAACGTATCAATTAAGCTGCCAGGCCACCTTTATTTTATGCAGACCTTGGATTCAAGCTTCTCTTGCCAGCTTTTTCCACAATCTCAACTTCTTGTAAACATGTCACTGATTAGAAAAGCTGCAGCTCTGCACTGAAATTTTTAAAAACTTAGGTTTGCACATGGATGCTCCTATAAAATTATACCTGAGAATAATTATAAATTATAATTATAAATTTATAATTACTATTCTTAGGAAAAATTATAACAGCACCCATAATCCAATTCTGAATTTACGTCTCAATGTAGACTTTGTGAAACAAGTGTATATTAACCCTTTTCGGTCCAATGTCGAGGCTGACTCGACAGATCAGGTGCTAGGAGCAGGTCCAACGTCGAGGCTGAGATCGACACCACAAACCGGTTCAACATTCAATCCCGTCAATTAATTTGGACCAGACTGTTTGAATTCCAAAAATAAAATTGGACCGCAAAGGGTTAATAATGTATCACTTACTGTGGGTTTTTTTTTCTTACTATGGACAAAAGTTCAATTATTAAAACAGAAAAAGTCTGAATATCCAAGTAATAAATTTAGGCTTTGAATTCTTCCCCTACACAGTAACAATCAATAGTGTCAAATGACTCTAAAATCTCTATGGTCATTGTTTCTACAATGCTACAAAATTTACAGTTCCTTTCACATAGCAATCACATAAATTCTTTTTAACTTGATTTCAAAACACAGGAAAATAAGTGTCCTCAGTCAATTGTTTTTTCACTTTCAGATAATATTCCAACTGCATCCAGTTATTTACCATACTAGAGGCCTGGTGCACGACATTTCGTG